TATTTAGGCAGGTGTAGGTGGAATCTAAGTGATCAGCAGGACGCGCGGTGAGCCCAGCGTCCTCCTATGCCGCCATCTTCCCTCTTCCTCGGGGGTCTTATTTTAAAATATCTTTTCCTGGGGCACCTCGGTGGCTCAGTCAGTTAAGCATCTGACTTTGGCTTAGGTCACGATCTCACGGTTCATGGGTTTGAGCCCCGCGTTGGGCTCTGTGCTGACAGCTCCAAGCGTGGAGCCTGCTTCAGATTCTGTGTCTCCCTCTTTCTCTCTCTGTCCCTCCCCCACTTGCGCTCTCTCTTGTTCAAAAATAAATTTAAAAAATTAAAAATTTTTAAATATATTTTCCTGTATAGTTGTTATTAAAGAAAGAGTTCTTCTGGGTCAAATGTACACAAAAATCAGAGGGTATATATGCTTTTCCTAGGTTCAGTTGTCAGGTTCTCAAAAGAACCTGATGCCCAAAAATGGAGATTAAGAACTATCTGAAAAAATAGTTGGCAAAAGAGTAACTAAAGTAACCACTATCTGTTAGTTTTTATAACAATATTTTATGAAGCCCATGCCATTCTCTTGGAGAAAAGATAAAGGATACTATTATGGCCAAGATTAAATAAATAGTGACTTAAAACATTTCAAATAAAGGGTACCAAAAAATAGACTGGAATTTCTGAATTTCTAAAAAAGGCTGCTCAATAAATTTCAACAGTCATGAAGTATGCCAATCTACCCACAAATCACAATGCTATGAAACAGGGATGAATAGGAAGCTGTGGCAACAATTAGAAGTTGACAGTTTAATAGTATGTTCACCATATAGTCTTCTTTTAAATGTTTCCCCTAGTGGCAGTAACTCATGGCTAGCATCAATAATTTTAGATCACGAAATCCACACTCATAAAACAATGTCAAACGAATGCTTAAATTTTCTACTCCCAGAATGATAAGCAGGAGTCATAAATTATCTCACCATGCTACCACCTATATTCTTCTATTATAATTATCACACAAAATTATAATCTTTTTTTTTTTTTTTTTTTTTTTTTTTTTTTTGTCTGCAAAATGATAAGGGAGCTACAATGACCCTGCTTGTCTGTGAGCTCCTTAAAGATTATACACCATTTCTTAAACTAAGGCACAGGACTAAGCATATGATAAATATTCACTCTATTCAACAAATGAATGTTCTTTTCGCTTATTTTATCCTACTTATTTTCACCTAAATGAGAAATAGGAAACAGCAATTTAACAAAGAAGGAGGTAACATGATATAGGGCTTTAATGGATTGAGTGATAGAAAACAGCCAATATTTGACAATTTTTGACTTAGAAATTTGCAATTTCTTTTTTTTTTAATTTTTTTTTTTTTAACGTTTATTTATTTTTGAGACAGAGAGAGAGAGAGAGAGAGCATGATCGGGGGAGGGTCAGAGAGAGAGGGAGACACAGAATCTGAAACAGGCTCCAGGTTCTGGGCTGTCAGCACAGAGCCCGACGCGGGGCTCGAACCCACGAACTGTGAGATCGTGACCTGAGCTGAAGTCGGATGCTTAGCCAACTGAGCCACCCAGGCGCCCCAGAAATTTGCAATTTCTTATGTTCATTCAACCTCATGAAATTGGGTACAGGAAACATGGAAACACAGTGGGAACACAACATTGCCAACTTATGCATTACTGGTTTCTAGATTCAAAAGCTCAAGAAAAATAACAGTAAAATAATTTTTTTATTTTTATTTATTTTTAAGACATATGAGACATATTTATTTTTGAGACACACACATATGAGCAGGGGAGGGGAAGGGAGAGAATCCCAAGCAGGCTCCACGCTGTCAGAGCGGAGCCCAACGTAGGGCTTGATCTGATTAGAGATCATGACCTGAGCCGAA